CCCCCGCTCCGTCGGAGCCCCGCGGAAGGTATGAGCCGAGGCTCCGGGGCCGGGCACCGCCTGCTCACATGGCACTCTCACCCAGAGTTAGCTTAAGTGAGTCCAAAGGTAATTTTGGTGATTTTGAAGCAAAATCGTTAGTAAAATAGACCTAGAAGCAGCAGAGAGCTGTGAGCCCGCTTTAAACTGAGCACTGTTCTTGCAGAGGGAGTATTGCTTCAAGCCGCTCTTTACAGGTCAGAAAGGATCGTGGTGACAGTCTCCCTCTGACTGATCCCTTCTCCCGACGATGGGCTGAGTTCCCACCTGCAGCCTCAACCAGTCCAAAAATGTCCTGCAAAATGTGAAGAGCAAGGAAGGATTGCCACCCGAAGTCGGAGAAGAGGCAGAGGGAGCAGGGTCGGGCTGTAAGGAAGGACCACAAGGATGCAGTGATAACCGGGTGGAGAGTAACCGTCGGGGGGATGCACGTCTGTGTGGGAAGGACTGGTGCTGGCATGTAAGGAAAGAAAAAGATCGCTGCGGCAATGCAGGAACGTGGAAAGATGTTTTGTAAGGGCAAACTTTCCCTGTTGGACATTAATTGCTTTTCATGGGTACAAAATGCACTTTAAGTGATGAAAGGAGTGGCTGACAAGCAACGCTGTATTCAACAGATATCAGAGAATGCAGCCTAGGTTAATCACCTTCTCTAAAAAAAAAATAATGTTTTCCGAAAAGACAACCATCTGTCTGAGACAGAATCTTATCTCCAAACTCCTGTTGTCTACTTCAGTGAGAAGGGGAGCAAGAAAGGGAGTGACGTGGGGCAGTGAGGGGACTCCAGCGGCAGCCGTGGTGATTTTATTTTATTTTTTTCCTTGGCATCAGCCATCAGCTCTTTGCATGGCTTCCCGTGGACTTTCCTCCTGGTTACCTTCGGCAGCACAAGCAACGCCAGGAGCTGCCCACAGCTCCCTCCGGGGCTCTGAGCTTCCCAAGCGGCATCCGCAGCCGCTGTGCCTGCTGACGGAGTTTATTTAAATAGGCGGGGAGAAAGTGTTTGTGTTTGCAGAAGGCAGCGTATAATGTAAACTACCTCCGTGAGGTTTTAGGAAAAAAAACTGGTATTCATGCCACTCCATAATTGAGGGATACCAGTCAGGTGGAAGATCTTCCCAGGGAGTGGAAGGAACAGCCTGGGAAAGAAAAATCTGGTGTTTCTGCAAGGTTGCATGGCCCCTTTGAAAAGGCGTATGAGGCGTAGTGTGTCCCCTTCCCAAAGCTTTACATTTTCCCTCTAAGTTAGTCTCTTCTAATGGTAAGGGGTGGGGAGGAAAGCGTCAACCCATCAGTCGGGGTTTTCAGATGCCGGTAGGGTCCCTTGGGCTTTTAGGGCCTTTGGGCGCCTGGACCACAGAATGTGCTGGTGGTGATCAGCGAGTCTGTGCAGCCAGGTGAGTGACGGGCCGTAAATGCCCATCAGGGAGGACCTGCCCTTACAGCTGCCTCAGTGGCTTCATTAGCCACACCTTCCCTGAAAATGGGCAAGTGTCAGTCAGGGCGCTCCGGAGGTGGTTAAAACAAGACGTGCTCTAATACCCCAACTTCTTTCATGTCCTAGTGCCTTGAGGTGCATTTAGAAAATGCGCCCAAGTTTTGTCTCATACGGTAGGATTTAGCCAGGAGACATTGAAGAGAGCGCTGTACGAGTGTCGTTAAGGGAGCTTAGCAGCAGGGTGCCGGTGCGCGTTGTGGGTGTACGTACGTATATGTGTGCGTGTGCGTGCAAACGCACAACTTGCGTACGTACACATCACAGTAAAGTTTTAGACTTTGTAGGTTTAGAAGAACGTGTAGGTACCTACGGTGTAGCGTGTTTTCTGCGCGTTGCACCAGTGTTGCTAATTTTCTATGCCCATACGCACATACACGGAGACCCCACAAAAACTTAGCCCTTGTTTTATGCAAACTTGTCCAAGAAATTCCCAACCTAGTATCCTAATTCTTAAAGCACAAAAAGTATTATAGAAAGTCAGTATTTTTTTTTAAAGGGACTGAAAAAAACATACAGGCATTTCCAGTTTTGGTACATGGAAAGCTAGCTCCTGCTAAGCTCTGCAGGTATTAAGCTCGTTGACATCAGAGTAAGTTTAGTCTATACAACTTTCCAGCATAAGTAACTTTTGTTTTTTCCATGAAGCCGGCTAACTATGAGCACATTAGTCTGGC